GGGGGGGGGGGGGCTGCAGCTCCCTCAGCCTCCCTTACCCCTGGTTACTGTAGAAAGCTCACATATTAGATAACATTTTTTTCAAAACAATATTCGTAAATTATACTTATGCGTACACTTCTCGGAAAAACTCTTTGATGGTTACACGACATTTTCTAAAACTAAATAGGAAAATGGTGGTACCAACAAAAACCCCTAAACAACAATTTTAATTTCTGCGGATTAGTGACACTGTTAAAGTAGCAAGTCTATCAATTCTGCGGAGTCATTTTGACATATGCGTATGTATGTATCAAATAACAAATTGTCACTAATCCGCAGAAATAAAAATTATGTTGTCTAAGGGTTTTTGTTGATACCAACATTTTTCCATCTAGTTTTCGGGAAAATGTCGTGTAACCTCTTTGATTCATCCAGTACACAAGCGGTTTAAAGAATTCATCAGAAGAGCAGCAAAAGCCTGTTTCGGAGAGAATGCGAATATCGGCAACGTGGCATTCACATTTACGTTCTGTTTATGTGTAAGAAAATTGAAATGACAACGTAGCACACACACTTGCACATTCACGTATCTATATCATAGCGGCATCATATCAGCTATTTGACGATTGTCTTTACTTAATATCTATATGTATCTATATATGCATGAAATCAATATCGTCGATAAATGATAACGTTGTACTTTTTGACGATCGCTTCTACGTTATCGACGCTTAGCTAATTTGTCGTCCACTCCAGCATCCCCTTAAGGTCATCTTAAATTTTTTTTAAATAAAATTATGGTTTTTCTAACATAAACCAATTTCTCTAATCACATTCTGCATATAAAAATCATTAAAAAATGAATACTTTCCAACGTATTTTTAATTTTATTCTGATACTTTTCAGCACAAGATATGAAATATTTTTTAAACTATTCACTTTTCAATAACTTAATCTTGATACTTTTATGCATAAAATAACAGACAAAATAGATTATCGTAAAAATAACAAAAAAATTTTAAACAAAAATCAAACTTTTATATACTATTTCCCTATAGTTTGAGATACCAAAAATATTTAAGATAAACATTTATCAGATTCGCCAGATTTTATCAGATATATGTATATGTATGTGTTTGTATAGCTTGACAGAGAGTGTATAATGCTGGACAAATGTGTATCCAATATTATGTATCATCCGCCGTTAACCAGAGATTGTCAATTAAGATATTTTAGAAGAGACTCCATCTTAAACTAAAGAGTTCTTTTCATCATATCACATACATTCATTCGTCAATTTTCTAAGATAAATATTTAAGAAATTGGCATAATTGTAAAATGATACAAGATTTTTTATTCAATTTAATGAGTTCAGAAGCGGACATGCAGATTGCATCAGATATTCTACCTGTATGCAGGTAGAATCCATCAAACTGAGCAAAAAGTCCTCTACCATTTTTTTTAAATAACTATGTTAAATGTCGAAATATTAATAAAAGAAAATGAGCGAACATATACATGCGGTGCTGTGGAATGAGCTCCTTCCGCAAAATCACATTGAAAATAGCTGATTCTTACAACTGAGTAAGGGTGAATATTAGCTGACAGCGGAAGATATCAATAAAAGGAATAACGATGCGAGCAGCGCGTGGACAATTATTTCTTGATGTGTGTGCGTCCAAAAATAATTGTATACGCACGTATACTCAGTTGTAAAACGGTTTTGCACTTCTTTTTTCTAATGAAGTTGCAGCGTTTTAAGTTGTTACAATTGCGAGCCATAGCTGACGAATATATACAATAATTTTCCAGTAACAAAAGACATAGCCAATCACTGCGTAAATTAGTCAATAGTGGCTCGCAATTATGACAATCTTGAGTGCTGCAACTTTATTAGAAAAACCTTAAAAATTATCTTGCAATTGAGTGTACGCATACACGAACGTATCACATTGTGGTATTTCAAATGTAATTAAGATTTGTTAATATTTTTATAATTTGTTATACCTGTTAACATAGCGCCCTTTGGTATTTTAGCTCCAAGATCTATATATTGCTGTGGATTCTTCAGGAAATTTACAAATTCCATAATTTCTATCTTAGCTTCTTCACATCCAGCTACATCCCTAATGTCACATAATATATATAAAGATATATTCAAATGTATAAATTGTGATTTATCATATATTTGACAAAATAAAATAGGATCACACACTTAAATCGTACGCCAATATCTTTGGAATTGATCAGCTTCGCTGTAGACTCCATTACTTGACCAAATATTCCACCTCTTTTACCTCCTTTACCTGTCATTGCTTCTGCAGATCTCCGAACCAAGAAAATTAGGAAACCTAAAATTTCAATAAATTAGTAACAACAGTAAGTTGTCATTTACAACATATGTTTACAAAATTTAATAATTGCTATTATTGTTTACACATACCCAACATTAAAATCTGTGGCAGATACGACAATAGGTTTATACTTTCTACTTCATTTTTGTAAACCACAGGAATATAATTCTCAGGTCCAATGTTTAATTCAATTTGTGCATTTTCAAGATTTCTTTCGAATGTATCTGTACTACCAATATTAAACCACAAAGTATCCTATAAAAGATATTAATAACAATATTAATACACAAATCCAAATATAATTAAACTTATATAATATACACAGGGTGGCCCACTTAAATCGAACATCTTGAATACTTCACTTATTTTTGATAATACGGAAAAATGTTTCAGATGAAAGTGGAAGGTTGTCAAGGAGGACACATTTTGATTACGTTGTTTTTTTTTCTAAGTGGAGGCGCTGAAAAGATATGAGGGTCACCTTCACTTTTTTAAATGAAACTTTGATTTTTTTATAAATGATTTCTCTATTTATTTTATAAAAATATTAAGAAATAATAAGTAATAAGTAAGAAGTATAATTGTCAAAAACTTAATAATTTACGAGATATTTTATATTTTATTCTGATAAAAAATTTAGTCAAGGAAATATTCAAAATAATATCCTCCGACTTCAATACATCTTCAAAAATCATAATTTCATTTAAAAAAGTGAAAGTAACCTTCATATCTTTTTAGTGCCTTCACTTAAAAAAAAAAAAAACAACTTAACCAAAATATGTCCCCCTCGACATTCTTCCACTTTCATCTGAAACATTTTTCTGCATCATCAAAAATAGATAAGTGAAATATTCAAGTTCGATTTAAATGGATCACCTTGTGTATGTTTGTATGTGTGTGTGTATTAATAAGTATGTATATATAAATATATATGTGTGTGTGTGTATATATATATATAACTTTAATTGCACTATATATAATTTTGTAATCTAAGAAAAAACATACTGAGCCATCAACAGTATTCCCAGGCATAAGTCTTACACGCACCCATTTTTTATTTACCACTTCTAATTTCTCGACAAGACCTTTACCTAAATAACTAAAAAGAAAAAGAAGGAATAATTGTTGTAGATACATTAGACCTATTCCTTATCTATAATAAGTACCTTTTTTGTTCTATTAAAGGATACATTAACATAATTACTTGACAAAATGTTATATGCTCACTTGTATATGAATTCTCTCCATGTGATTTCTTTTTGATTAAAATCTTGAGTAAATATATATGCAATAAGACCAGACATTCCAATTGCACTCAAAATCATGAATGTCCTGTCTTTGTCACCACCTTCAAACCCTTTAGACCCACGTTGAGTGCTATCCCCGAAAACCTTAAATATCCACTGAAAACCTGAGTCTTTCGAAGTAGATGAAGAGCTAGAGCTAGATGATGGTTTTTGTGTAGTAGCTTTTTTACTTGATGCTTTTTCTGTCTTTTTGCCAACATTTTCAGCACTCTTAGTTTCACCTGCATATATAGTAATTATACAAACTTTTAAGAACTCTAGAAATTGTACGATAGAAATTGTACGATATAAATAAGAACAAAAAGAAAAACAATGAATAATTATTTTCATAATATATGAATAACCTGGTTTATAAAACTTTTCAAATCCTTTAGGTGGTTGTTTACAAAATAATCTCCACTTCTGCTGTAACTGTTCAATTGTAGATATTATTGCATCATTTTTGAGTAAAGATAAATGCCGCCTTAGCTGAAAAAGGACACCTTAACTTAACACTATCTACTTGATTTCAATAATATTTATGTAAGTTTTCTTGGTTTACGAATGTTGCAAAAATGATGCAAACTCTATATTGGGTTGCGAAAGTTGCCAAATAGTTATGGAAATAAAGAAATATAAAATAACAAAGTCTAAATAAACATATGTTTCATTTAGGAACAATATACTTAGAGTGCAAAGTAACTATCGCACTAGTAAAACATCAAATTCATAAAATGTATGCAGTAACGCGAGAACCATGTAATGTATAACATACGTGTAATCACGCAATTAAAATCATAATAATGCTATCGACACTTTCACAGAAACGTCGCGATCAAGTGCGTGATGCCACAACTATGGGCCGGTTGTTCCAACTTCTTGGTAAGTTAACTGATAGTTAAATCATATGTCTATCTTTGTTTTTCCTTCAATTTAAGCAAAGATGACAGACAGATGATTTAATTAGCAGTTAATTTACCAAGAAGTTGGAACAGCCTTTATATGTTATATCACAAAATGCGATGTAAGATAGAATAGGTTAGAGTACCTGAAATGTATCGAAGTAACCTTTCTGTGTAGATTTTAAGATCAACCTTTCTAATTTACTGGCCGACGAGAGCAATTGATGTGCCATGTTTATAATATACGTTGTTGTTATTATTGTATGAGACGCTTAACGACGTTCAGTATTAGGATTTTTATTGCTAAATTTTGGAATACAACACACTACCGGCCACAATTCACCATTTCAGATTCTCTTCGATAAAGCAATGAGTGCATTCAGTGCACTAGTGTTCATTAATTAGATCTATTCTTTTCCTCTACACTTGCGGCACTAGTGCAAGCAGTGTATACTAAAGTGTTCTTTTCAACCACGGACTTGATGGACAAAGCATTAGGGCCGTGGCACACAGAAAAACTTAAGCAGTAAGACATAAGCAGTAAGCAAATTGATCAATTACAGTCGTTGATTCTTCTTACGGTCAAAGAATCAACGACTGTGATTGGCTGATTCCCTTACTGCTTACGTTTTATGACTCCTGTACACAGGACGCGGTAATGCTTGCCGCGCGGCGGAAGTCAGCGTGACAGCCAATCAATATGTTGTTTTTCCGTAAGAGCTAGAAGGTTATGACGGAAAGCAGCATATTGATTGGCTGTCGCGCAAACTTCTGCCGCGCGACAAGCATTACCGCGTCCTGTGTGCAGGAGCCATTACTGCTTAAGTTTTTCTATGTGCCATCAGCTTTAAACGTCTTCTACAATGGCAGTAGGAGTAGTAGTAAGAAATAAGCAGTAAGCAAATTGACCAATTCCATTCTCACGTTTCAAAAATAATCGATTGTGATTGGTCTATTTACTTACTGCTTATTTCTTACTACTACTCCTACTGCTATTGTAGAAGACGCTTTAGGGCTATCGCACACAAATTGACATAACTGCATATGCATAGCATAAGATCGTATGGACCAATGAGCATCGAATATTAAGCATCGAACACCAATATGGCGACTTAATACTCGATGCTCATTGGTACATACGGTCTTATGCTATGCATATGCAGTTATGTCAATTGTGTGCGATAGCCCTTAGTCATTGATTCTTCTTACGGTACAAGAATCAACGACTATGATTGGTCAATTTGCTTCCTGCTTAAGCTTACGTCTGTGTGCAGGAGCCATTACTGCTTAAGTTTTTCTGTGTGCCACGGTCCTTAAGCTGGTGGCACATAAAAAAATTTAAGCAATAAGACGTAAGCAGTAAGAGAATCAGCTAATCACAGTCGTTGATTCTTGGACAATAAGAAGAATCAATGACTGTGATTGGTCAATTTGCTTACTGTTTACATCTTATGGCTTCTGCACACAGGACGCGGTAATGTTTGTCGCGCGGAGGAAGTCCGCGCGACAGCCAATCAATATATTGTTTTTCCGTAAGAGCTAGAAGGTTATTACGGAAAGCAGCATATTGATTGGCTGTCGCGCGAATTTCCGCCGCGCGGCAAGCATTACCGCGTCCTGTGTGCAGGAGTCATTAGTTAGAGTTAGCTAGAGTAGCATAGCGGATAATGTGAGCATCAAATAGATTTTCAAAAAATGTTAGTTATTAATAAGTTTAATCTCATATAGTATGTTTGTACTGAACGTTTAATAAGCGTATCAATTAGTAAATTTATATCTAATTATTTTAATTTCGGCGATACAATATTTTCAATTAATACGATACATGTTTCAAATCAATATTGCACTACTTCAATATGACGTTGTTTATATATATCGCCGAAATCAAAATAATTTAACATAAAATTACTAATTCGTACGCGTATTAAACGTTCGGTATAAACATACTATTAGGTGGTAAACTTAGTTTCTACGGCTCACAGTTAGATGACGTTAGTTGTAGGTGTAATTTATTTTGATATCTGAAACTGGCTGCATTTTAGAGGTTAGACATTTGTCAATAAAATTCAGAGCGAAGAGATTCATTTAAGCGAGCAGTGCTATTTTTTCTTTTGATTAAATATGGAACGTGATAAGTTGTTTTTTCGACATGTGCTGCTTCATTACTTTGACTTGAAAAAAACTGCAGCTGCAGCTCATAAATTGCTTTTCGAAGCTTATGGCAATTATGCTCTATCGGAAAGAACATGCCAAGTATGGTTTCCGCGATTTAAAAATGGTGATTTTCATGTCAATGATAAAGAACGCTCAGGCCAACCGAAAAAGTTTGAAGACACCGATTTGCAGGCATTATTGGACGAAAACTCTACTCAAACGCTCCAAGAATTGTCTGCAGCATTAAATGGACTGCATTCAGTAGACTCAACAGTTGAGACATCTGTTTCGATGGATCTGTTCGATGGATCGAACTCCGCTATGAATTTTCTACTGGATTCGTTTGTGATATCGCTACTAGTAAAGATGGCTACTTCTAATGTATTACTTTAAAATAAAAGCGGATAAGGTTAAGTTAAGAGTAGTTTGACAGTAAAATTAATTTTGAAATACTTACGAATAATTTATAAAACTACATTGCATTATAAAGTTATGTTATGTTATTACAGGAAATCTATACGTTCATACAGGACCTAAGCAGAATAGCTATCTTGTGAA